TAGGAGATGCCAAGGTATTTCATTTTTTTTGTGGCTATTGTGAATGGAATTGTGTTTTTTATTTGGGTTTCTGTTTGTTTATTATTGGTGTAAAGAAATGCCATTGTCTTTTGCACATTTATTTTGTATCCTGAGACTTTGCCAAAGGCCTTTATCAGTGTAAAGAGGTTTTTGACAGATTCTCTTGGATTTTCAAGGTATACAATCATATCATCTTTGATCTACAAGGAACTCAAACATGCTGAAAAGAAAAAAACAAACAACCCCATTATAAAATGAGTAAAAGACATGAACAGACACTTCACAAAGGAAGACATCCGAGTAGCCAACAGACATAAGAAATGTTCAACTTCACTAATCATCAGGGAGATGCAAATCAAAACCACACTGAGATACCACTTAACTCCAGTCAGAATGGCAATTATCAACAACTCAAAAAATAACAGCTGCTGGAGAGGGTGTGGAGAAAAGGGAACACTTCTACACTGTTGGTGGGAGTGTAAACTAGTGCAACCTCTGTGGAAAGCTGTGTGGTGATTCCTAAAAGCTCTAAATATCTACCTTCCATACTACCCCGCAATCCCCCTAATGGGAATATATCCGGAAGAACACAAATCGTTCTACAAAAAAGACACCTGCACACTTATGTTTATCGTAGCATTGTTCACAATAGCAAGAACCTGGAAGCAACCATGCTGCCCATCAAAAGAGGACTGGATTAAAAAAATGTGGTACATATACATGATGGAATACTATGCAGCCATAAAGAAGAACAAAATCATGAATTTTGCAGCAACCTGGATGGAGCTAGAGTCTATAATACTGAGTGACCTAACAAAGGTCCGAGTATCACATGTTTTCACTCATATAATGGACCTCGAATATCCAATCTAATACTATAAGAAAATAACTGACAGTAGTGGGAAACTATGGGAGCAGGAGGGAGATGGGATTAACGGGCAAATATCTGTCTGGGGATGGGAAAGCACCTCTAATCAATAGGGTGCCTGAATGAAATGTATTTGTATACCTAACCCTTAACTGTACCCCACAACATCATAATAAAAAAATATTGATTATTAAAAAAAAAAAGAAATTATTCTTGGCTATAAAGCAACTTATAACACCTAAAAATACTATATGCAAAACTATTAAGTGGCTCATTTTAACAACTTGTCTTTGTATAAGATGGCTGAAATAATTAAATATACATTCTTGAAAAAAATTCAAAGTTTTTTTAAAAGTGAAAATTAGGATTCATAAATGTCTTAAAGCCATTTTCCCTTGAGCTATTACAAGAAGGTAATGAAAGTTCATTTTAAAATATGGCTCAAGCCAGGCTTGGTGGCTCAGCCTGTAATCCCGCGCCTTTGGGAGGCTGAGGTGAGTGGATTGCCTGAGCCTACAGGTTCAAGACCCGCCTGGGCAGTGAGACCTCATCTCTACACTAAATCAAAAAATCAGCCAGGCATGGTAGTGCATGCCTGTAATTCCAGCTACTTGGAAGGCTGAGGCGGAAGGATCGCCGGAGCCCAGCAGGCGAGGCTGCGGTGGCCAGGAGCGGCTACTGTAGGAGTGGGACTCCAACTCAAAAAAATAAAAAATAAAAATAAAATAAAATATGGCTCAAATATAACTTTAACTTAAACACAGAAGGTCTTAGAAATACACTAGAATTTTTGAATATAAGCAAAGAAATAAGCAAGATCAAACTAGGGCCTTAAACATGAAAATATTGAAAAGAAAAAAGTATTTGATGGCTTAAATTTTAAAAATTCAATTCAGCAAAAAATTTTAAGCTCACACTGAATAAACACAATGGTACATCAGTTATTTTTTAGCAGAAATGTGGGGGGAAATTACAAAATAATTGTATCCTTTACTTTTTTTTCAAATTTTTTCAAGGCCAATTCTTTCTTTTCATTTAAATCCCCAAAGAGTTAGAGACAAAGTCACTGATAGTAAGAGGTGATTAAAGATTTGGAGGGGTGGTTAGACAGCACTCTTAGCTTGATGAGCGACAGATATGGAAAGGAACTCTTTATTCTGGAGAGTGAGAAAAAAACATTCTAAGGAATGGTAGTTCTCATTTCCTTTTGAAAACTGTGGTCATAAGTTTGAAGAGTGGCCAATCAGTGTAGTTGTATGTTTTTCTCCAGCCATAGTCAGCTGCACAGGAACAGAATGGAGGCCAAGGACTGTATTTGACAAGGGCTGGGTTTTTCCTGGGCAATATAATATATAAAGAAAGAGCAAGAGATTTAAGAGTATTCATAAAAGAGTGCTTAGATTGATGAACCAACCAATGTGGTATTATTAATGAATCACAAAATCAAGTTGGGTATTAGAAAAGTGTTTACTATGGGGGGGGAGGGGGATGGGACTAACAGTAGCAGATATCTGTCTGGGGATGGGAAAACACCTCTTATCAACAGGGTGCCTGAATGAAACGTAATTGTACACCTAACCCTTAACTGTACCCCACAAAACCATAATAAAAAATATTGATTAATAAAAAAAAAAATAAGGGGAAAGAGGAGAGAGAAGAAATTAGTACAAACACACACCAGGGTCTAACGGTGACTGGGACCACTCCCTCTATCTCTGCTTGATTCCAGACCATGCTTTCTGACTGAGCAACAGCCCCATGGAGTGGTCACTAAGTCAAAGCACAAATAATATGTTAGGGGGAGCACTGTATTCCACATGGTGCCATAACTGAGTCTTCAGCACACCACTGCATTATTCTATTATGCCTGCTCTTCCTGGGTGATGAAGGATATGGTAAAAACCAGTTTATTTCAGAGGCAGAAGCCCGTTGCCCCACTTTTACTTTGAAATGGGTTTGTTGACCAGAAGCAATGCTGTGTAGAGTTTTAAGAGGATACACCAGACATTCATTCAGTCTGTGGATTTTGGTGCTGGCAAGTCACTGGGAAGAACTTCTGTTTACTGCCCCAGGAGAGAGAGGGCTAGAAGGTACATCACTGATGCTCTCACTCTCACAATGAAAAATGGTCAGATTAACTTCAAAATCATGACTTTTCTCATAACTCACCAGAAAACTGAGGTCACAGAACAATCAAAATCTACAGACTTAGCGGCAGGGGAAACATGTACTTCACTTATCAGCTAGAAACAAAATTAAATGAAATCAGTAATCCTCAGAAGTCCTATGTACATATCTCCAGACACACAGACAGACAGACACACGAAATTCCAAGTGCTTCTATATAACACATCTCAATTGTGTAGGATAGTGAATAGGTTTCAGACCAGGAGATAAGTCTGGTCAGTTGTAAATTCTATTGTGCTGTACCTTAAGAAACTGATGATGTTTTTGATTCACATGACAATTTCTTTCTCTTTTTTCTTTTTTTTTGAGTTGGAGTCTTACTCTGTCGCCCAGACTGGAGTGCAGTGGCCGCTTCCGGCTACCGCAGCCTCGACCTGCTGGGCTCCAGCGATCCTTCCGCCTCAGCCTTCCATGTAGCTGGAACTACAGGAGCGCGCTACCACACCCGGCTAATTTTTTAATTTATTGTAGAGATGAGGTCTCGCCTGCTCAGGTGGGTCTCGAATCCGCGGGCTCAGGCAATCCACTCACCTCAGCCTCCCAAAGGTGTGGGATTACAGGCTGAGCCACTGAGCACGGCCACATGACAATTTCTTAGAGTTCAACCTAATATATCACTACATTCTCAATTAATGGCTGTTTTTTAAAGTTACCATTTGAATAAAAGTGAAGTTACTGAGCTAGACTAAAATTACTTGAAAGTATGAGAGAAAAAGTATGTGAAAGTAGGTATTTATTACAGAACAATTTTTTTTCTATTAATTAAATGCTTTACACGAAAAGCTGTACACCATAAACTGACAATGACCTGGTAGCATGCAAATACTTCAGGTTGGAGAGGTATATTTGCTCTTGACAAATTGTCATATATTAAATTCTCATAACATTTGATTCCAAAAGGTATGTATAAATTGTCTTCACATGATTATTTAAAGTTAAATATAAACATAGGGACAATTTAAGCATTGGTATTCATTTATATGCATTAATTTAAGGTAAGTGACTAGAGAGTTAAATTTTTAAAAAACTCTGAGGTCAAAAAATCTTTAGGAAGAGACTCCGTACTGATGTACATTTGGACATAAAGAGCTAAAAAATCCACTCTCAATATAATACCATTAAGCAAAGGATGTATAACATCCATCACACATCTGTTTCGAAACAGCATGTTTCCCAAATTATACATCACTTTACAAATAAACACCAGAGTATTAGCAAGTAGAGACACCATCAGTATAAGCTCTACACATGCTGCTGACTTTCACAAGGCATCTCTGAGCCTTGGGGCATACATCTTAATCTTGGGGCTTTAAGAACATCTTCTTGGCTTTACTCGGTTTTATGTCTCCATTTTCATCTTCTTCATAATTGGCATGGTCTCTCTTCCTGGCAAACTTTTTCCCAATTGTCCCCACCAAGGTTTCATATCTGTTAAGAGGATATATAGTACATGTTTAAGTTCAAATAAAAAAAGGAGAAATCAAGTCTTGTCAAGAATATAAAACCAAATATGCAACAAAGAGAAAAAGAAAAATACAGCTATGATTAAGAGAAACCATCCAATTAAAAAAAGTTATAAACTTCCCTAAGAGTCATAAAATTATCTGCGGATTTGGTTTTTGCATTATCCTAAATAAATTAAGATGTACGTTTCAAAGTATATATTGGAAGCAGCACTGGGAATGGGTCCTTGACAGCCATCTTGAGACAGGTCTCAGTGCCCTGAGGGCTACATAAGGGCAGGTAGATTACAGTCACCTTCTCACTGGAGTATTCCCTTTAAAGCTATGAAGCATAAGAGGAGTATACATGGGAGAGTCAGTGAATGCCAGGTCCAGATTAGAAAGTGGTTCCACACCAATAGTTACCTTCTAGCCATCTCTTCATCAGACACATCAAGCTCCACAGCTTCATCTTTGACTTCTTCTCTTTTATTCTTAGAATTCATCTGAAGCATTAATTTCTGAAAAATACCAATGCTGACCATTAGGGTTAGAAAAACTTGTGAAGGCTGGGCTTGGTGGCTCAGCCTGTAATTCCAGCACTTTGGGAGGCAGAGGTGAGGGGGATTGCCTGAGCTTGCGGGTTCAAGACCAGCCCAGGCAACTTGGCGAGACCGCATCCCTACAATAAATAAAATATTAGCAAGGCATGGGAGTGTGCGCTTGTAGTTCCAGTTACTTGGAAGGCTGAAGCACAAGGATCGTTAAGCCCAGTAGGTCGATGCTGGGGTGGCGTGAGTATGCCACTACACACCAGCCTGGGCAATAGAGTAAGACTCTAACACACACACACACACACACACACACACACACACACACACACACACAAAGAAAGAAAAACTTGTGAAAAGAACTTGTGTCCAACTTATTTGAAGGCAGAGAAACTGAAGTCACAGAATCTAGTCAACACCTATGAGGGATTCTCTGTAATACTTTTTTTTTTTTTTTTTTTAGAATCGGGGTCTCACTCCATTGCCCGGGCCGGAGTGCAGTGGCACAACTGCAGCTTACTGAAGCCTCAAGCTCCTGGGCTCCAGAGGTCCTTCTGCCTTAGCGGCCCAAACAGCTAGGACTACAGTCGTGCCCCACCATGCCTGGCTCGACTTTTTTGTAGAGATGAGGTCTTGCTATGTTGCCTAGCAGCTGGTCTCAAGCAATCCTCCCGCCTCAGCCTCCCAAAATGCTGGGAGTACAGGCATAAGCCACTGTGACCAGCTTGGATTATCTGTAATACTTTATATTACAATGTGCTAACAGAGGTCAGTGCTGAATCAAAAAAATAGTAAGACAAAGTTCCACTAGATTGCATTTAGTGTGAATGAATTTAAATTGTATTTGAGCTCATAACTCTTATTACTAGTTACTTGCATCTAAAGTAGGCATATTGCTATCACATTGCAGTGAGGGGGGAAAGAAAAAATAAACTCACAGATTTCCTCTGAACTTCCACCCATCTTTGAGTCAAATGGAAGAAGTACTAATAGTCAACAGTAACTTTAAATGCATCTTCTGGTAGTGGTGATGGTGAGTGGGGGCGAGAGGGCACAATACCCGGATGGAAGCACTGGCAGGATGGCCCCGGCATAATGGAGGGATCTGCCCCCTAACCTTATCTCTCTACCTGTACAGTGGACAGCAACTCATGAGACATCCATGTGCTCAGGACAACTACTACCACAGATAATTATCTAGCCCTAGATGTCAATACTGCCAAGGGTAAGAAATCCTGGCTTCAAGTGATACGTACAAAACTAAAAAACTTATATCACAAATGGTCATTGGTTGGTCAAAGTCCTCAAAAGATGGCTTTTAATATATGAGCCAGAGTTCTAATAAATATGTGTTAAATAAAGGTCTCTTCTCTACAAACATGAAATAGAAAAATTCAAGTGAACAGCTCAGTTACAAGGCACATATTCATTTTTCAAGCAACCTTTCCAAAGGATTCATTTAAAAATCTATTTACAAGCTTGGCTTAAAACCTGTCCATTAAAAAGTCAAATTACACAATCTTTAAGTAACATTTTTCCATTAGAGAAGATTTAGATGCCAGAAAATAACTTTTTATAATAGTATCATATGAATAAAATCTTGACGTTCCTGTAAAAGACTCAAGTTGAAATTCTAATACAATGGCACCACCAGGGACTGTATACTGCTATATTAAATTATCTATTCAACTCTACCATAAAACTAGACTGCAATGACTGAAGTTTCTTTAAATAGCTATGGTGATGTTTCAAGACTTGTTATTTTCTATATAATGAGGAGAAGTAGTACCTGGAGGGGAAAGACCTAAGACCAATTATTAGAAAAAAATTCAATTGGGAAAATTTTAAATTTGTAGCAATTATATTTAGTACCTCAACCTCAGGATTAAATCCTCTGAATGACATTCTTCCATAGAGAAGATCTTCACATAACAAGAAACTCTGCTCTTCTATTATGAAACTCCTAAGTGGGAAAATAAACCTATATTAATAGCATGTCTACTTGTAACAAAGCACAGCAAATAAAAATCAAGACTTTGAATGAAAAAATCAATCTTATGGTTCTTAGCAGAATCAAGTATAAATACAGTAAGATTTCTAACCTAGAGATAAAAATAAGATTTGATTAATTTGGCCAGCAAAGGCATTAGGAGACAAGCGCTACAGGCTGAAGACACAGTCTTTTAAACACTACTTTTAATCTGCATAAATACCTATATCACATAAAGACCTAAAATATTTATAATACAATTGAATTTCCCAAAGTGAGGCAAGGTTTCTTTGATGTTTACATCCTCCACCAAGTTCTTATTAAATATCCAGGAGAGGAGGAAGGAAATCAGAGGCCTGGGCAGCTTTAACAGAGTGTGTTATTTGGAGCTGTTATCTATAAATACCAAAGACTGACCCTGGATGACTTAAGCAGAGAGGGAATTTATTATAAGAATATAGTAGGGGCTGGGCTTAGTGGCTCAGCCTGTAATCCCAGCACTTTGGGAGGCTGAGGTGACTGAATTGCCTGAGCCCGTGAGTTCGAAACCAGCCCGGGTAACTTGGTAAGCCCTCATCTCTACAATAAATCAGAAATTAGCCGGGTGTGGTAGTGCACACCTGAAGTTCCAGCTACTTGGAAGGCTAAGGTGGAAGTATCGCCAGAGCCTAACAGGTCAACACTGGGGTGGCCATGAGTGTGCCACTGCATTCCAGTCTGGGTGACAGAATAAGACTCCAACTCAAAAAAAAAAAAAAAAAAAAAAGGAATACAGTAGGCCCTCCAGATATCCATGAGGGATTGGTTCCAGAACTGTGGATACTAGAATCTACAGACACAAAAGGTTGATTATATTGGGTATCTCACAGAATCACTGGGAAAACTGGATGAGCAGAATTAGAAAACAGGCAGAAATAAGGGTGGCTAGGTGGTTGAACCAGAACCAAAATCAAAACCATGCTACAGAACTACCCTAATAAAAACAATGCTGCTAAGAGGGCCAAACACTGGATAACATAGAGGGCAATATGGCAGATCATTTACCCTGGAACCTGTTACTGTCTCCAAAAGGAATTCTCCTAAGTCACCAGTTCATGACCCCATAAGCATGGCAGGAAAGCAAATACCTGGTCTTTACGGCTCCTTAGGTGGAGAGTATGCTCTGCTTCCCATCAAGATTCACTTAAGCAAACACTTAAGAAATCAAACTGTATGCAGGCAGTGTTCTAGAAACTGGGGAAACAGCCACAAATAAAAGAACCTCTGCTCTCATGGAGGCTACAGTCTATAGAGTGGTACCAGAAAGCAAACAAATATCAGTGGATGAAAATAAAGCAGGTTGCTTCATTCTTAGTCATAGGGAGTAACTGGTACCAAGCTAGCTCTCTCTCATCTATAAAACAGAACAAAAGGTGGCTCACATCTATAATCCCAGCATTTTGGGAGGCAGAGGCGAGAGGACTGCCTGAGCTCAGGGGTTTGAGACCAGCCTGAGCAACAGGCGAGACCTCGTCTCTATAATAAATCAAAAAATTAGCTGGGCATGGTGGTGCATGCCTGTAGTTCCAGCTACTTGGAAGGCTGAGGCGTAAGGATGGCCTGAGCCCAATAGGTCGAGGCTGTGGTGGCTGTGAGCAGCATACCACTGCAGTCCAGCCTGGGTGACAGAGTGAGACTCCCACTCAAAAAAAAAAAAACCAAACCAAAATATAAAACGAATATCTTCAGACAATGAACAAGTCAAAGCACAGAGCTGTGATGCTTGAGAAAAAAACAAATGAAGTGAGTCCCATGAACGCACAGCCTCCTGCCTGAAGTTAACTACCAAATTGTGCAGCAGAAAGGAAGAGCTCCAACAGAATCTCGCTGAACTAAAGAAACAAATTGAAGTCTGGGACTACGAGGTGGCTGGGATATATGGGGCAGGATACCACAGAAAGGGAGATACACAAAGGAATTCAGGACCTGCATTTAGTCCCCATGAATCTCTGCCTGCACATTAAGCTGTGCATGTGCAGGATGAGTCCACAGCATCTGGGGAAAAATAACTACCGGAACGATGATTTTTAGAACAATTACCTAGTACATTAGCTTCCTATGGTTGCTGTAACAAATTTAAGCCAACAAAATTGGTGGCTTAAAGCAACAGAAATGTATGTTCCCACAGTTCTGGAGCCAGAAGTACAACATCAAGGTGCTGGCAGGACTGGGATCTCTCCAGAGGCTTTCCTCCCTTGCCTCTCTAGCTTCTGGTGGCAGCCAGCATTCCTTGGCACCACTCTGATCTCTGCCTCCACGGTCATAATGCCTTCTGTGTGCCAAATTTCCCTTGGCCTCCCACTTATAAGGAAATAAGTGATTGCATCTAGGGCCCACCCAGATAATCCAGGATAATCACTTATCTAAAGATCCTTAATCATGTCAGCAAAGTCAATTTTGCCACATAAGTTAACACTCAACAGATTTCAGAGATGAGGACCTCAGTACCACTTGGTGGGCAATTTCCCCACCTACTACACCTGGGAAAGAAAATTTACCCTGAAGCTGAATGTTGAACAAATACCAGAGCTTGCAAAGAGCAGGGGAATGTTTGCATTCTGTCTCATCAGACAGGAGAGATTAAGCTAAATACCCAGTGATATTTAACAGAAAGGCCATATCTTAAAACCAGGCTAATTTAGCTCTGGAGTAAAAGTTATAAAACCCACTCTAACAAAAACAAGCTGACTGGCATGTAAATTCACTGCATAATGAAACTAAACTCAATACTCCATTTAGGAAAATAACAAAGTCCAGGTAGTTAGCAATGTAGCACACGATGTGTTACACACAATAAGAAATTGCTAGATGTGCAAGGAAGCAGAAAAAGGCAACCTCTCAATAAGAAAAATCAACAGAAAAAGGGAGATGGAATTAGGAAAAAAGGACTTTAAAAGTTATCATAAACATGCTCGAAGACTTACATGAAAATATTAATGCAAAAAAACTTGAATTAAGGAATGGAAACTGCAACAAAAGACGAGATAGACAGTGATTTATCACAGAAACAAAGAACCGAGTTCCATATGTTCTCACTCACAAAGTGACCTTGAACAATTATAATGCTGTAAGAAAGCAACTGGCAGTAGTGAGAAACTGTCGGGGGTTGGGGGGGTTGGGGGGTGGGATTGGCAGTTGAGGGAAACAGCTAGGGGAGGGGGAGGCATACCTCATCAACAAGGGTACTTGGATGATTAATGTTTATATACCTAACCCTGAATTGTACCCCACATCTTTATAAAAAAAGAAAAAGACGAGATAGAAATAACAGAACCAAAAAACCCCCAAATTATATCCAAAGTGAAAAATTGAAACAGTGCTGCATCTATTAAAGAAATGAAATTCATTACTAAACATCTTTGCACAGAGAAAACTTCAGAACCAGATGGCTTCACTTGTCAATCTCAACAAATACTTAATGAAAACATAATATCAACTTTACACAAACTAAGAAATGAGAAGAGACAGCACTTTTTTAGAAGTTCTATAAGGTAAAACATACTTCTACACACACACACACACACACACACACACACACACACAAATTAGAGACGACTATAGATAAAAATGTCAAAGCTAAAACTACAAAAGAAAAAAATGAACAAAATTAATAAAAACTGCTGAGCAAAAGAAAACAAAGAAAATAAACAGGAAACCCACAGACTGGGATAACATTCACAATACATGTATCTGGCAAAGAATTTGTATTCAGAATATAAAGAACTTCTATATGTATAGAAGTATGTAAGTTTTATCTAAGAAAAAAAACCCCACGTACTGGGCTTTAGTTAATAACATGCATGCTGAAATATTTAGGGATGAAATGTACTGATGCCAGCAACTTACTGCGAAAAGCATCGGAAATACAATGGATTGATGGATGGATAGAGGAATGAGCAAAAATGTGATATAAAAGATTAAAAAACACAAAACACTTTAATTTTAAAAAAGGTCAAAAGATTTGAAAAAACAATTCACAAAGGTAGACACAGAAATGGCCAAAAAGTACAAGTTCTTTAACATTATTAGTCATCAGGAAAATACAAATTAAAAACTACAGTGAGATTCCACTAGAATAGGCAAAATAAAAAAGGTACATAACTATAGATGTTGACCTTTCATATTTCTCTAGGGAAAGTATAAAATGCTACAACTACTTTGGAAATTGGCCTGAAAACTTCTCATCAAGTTAAGTATATGCCAACCTATTACCCAGCAATTCCACATCTACCCAGGAGAAATAAAGATTATGTGCCAAAAAACAAGCAGAACTTGAATATAAATGTTCATAGCAGCTTTACCCATAATAGCAAAAAACTGGAAACAACCCAATGTTCACTAATAGAAGAATGAATAAATACCCAGTGGTATACCTGTAAAATGAAATACCACTTAGCAATAGAAAGAAATGCATTACTGATACTCCACAACAAGGATGAACCTCAAAATCATTTTGCTAACACAGAAAGGCACATATGGCATGGCTGCTTTCATATGAAGTTAAGAACAGACAAAACTTTATGGTGAGAGAAATCAGAACAGTTTCTGCATCAGGGAAGAAGTGAGATCAACTGTAAAGAGGGGTGAAGATCTTTATGTGGTAACGGAAATGTTCCCTATCTTGATAGGGGTATGGTTTATGAAAGTGTCAAAACACATACAGCTGTATACTTAAGAATATTCCACTAAAAGAAAATTACCACACCTACACAGATCCGTTTAAGAGGAGGCAGTGAAGGGACATCAAAGGACAGGGGTCCTTATGAAGAGTGGTCTGAGTGGTCTTGGATGGGATGGAAGTTGAGCAGAGGCCAGACGACAGTGAGGAGGCAAGATGTGAGAATAAATACATAGGTGAGGAACATCTGAGGGACTAGTCACACGTAGAGGCTCCGAGATGGGAACATCATTGGCCTGATGAACAGGAAGGAAGT